TTCATCATATTCATCATATTCATCATATTCATCATATTCATCATATTGGTTAGCTCTGGTTCAACTATAACGATAGTAACATACGAAATAACAATAACCTGAACATATTCAACTATATCATAAGTAAATGATGACCATGAAACGTTGAAAATTCCTAAACAACAAGAAGATTCATTCTAACGGGTCGCTATTAAATCCCGACCACCCTGATATTTTGTCCCGCGATCACACTAAAACGGCATTAACGTGCAAACGTCAGCGACGGTCACGAAAGCCCAGCCGTGAAAAACGGCGCGGGCGTTCCCCTAAGCGTCGCGGCCGCGAGATTTACGACGACAGACCGTCGGCGCGAATTCAAAAGGACGCGAATCGAAAAACGAAAAAAGCTCATCCGGCCGGGGCCTCGTCCATCCAAAAATCAAGCACGCGAAATTTTTGGCAGAGGGATCCTGGCGGCACTCGGATCTATCGTTCGCGGGTCAGCGAGCATCGCGACGTCCAAAGAAATCGGACGACGTTCCCTTTGTAGAGATCCTTGCACTTCCTAACCGAACTATGCGCCAACTTGGCAGCGACTTCGAGATAAACGATTGCCGAACGCTGGAAGGCTGCTTGGTCTTCAATTTTTAGGATTATTATTATTACTATCGCTGGTCGAGCGGAGGGGAGTAGAAATCACGTCGGAGAAATATCACCTCGCTCCACTAGTCTGACCAGCGGCGTATTCTACTGGGAGTCTCTAACGAGCGACGCTGTTGTTCGAAGCGGGAGGGAGTTGTACACGTTTCAACTATTTTGCAAAGTTGTTACTATTTGTTCCCCTCTACTTTGGAGTAAATGCCTAATTAAAGTGTTTACTTAACCACGGGTTACGTGAACACTCATGGATGCGACGAGAGCAATTCTGACGCTTTCTTTCTATCTGTTCTGTTGGCAGAACATAGTTCACCTAACCAATATGATGAATACGATGAATATGATGAATACGATGAATATGGTGAATATCGTGAATATGATGAATATGGTGAATATGGTGAATATGGTGAATATCGTGAATATGATGAATATGGTGAATATGGTGAATATGGTGAATATCGTGAATATGATGAATATAGTGAATATGATGAATATGATGTATGTGATCCATAGTCATACCTATGGTAGATGATATAATGTGTATGGTGATTGTAGTCACACTGAATATACTGAATATGACGAATACTATGAATACGATGAATATGGTGAATATGATAAATATGATGAATATGATCCATAGTTATACCTATGGTAAATGATATAATGTGTATGGTGACTGTGGCCACACTGAATGTGATAAATATGACGAATATGATGAATATGGTGAACATGGTAAATACGATGAATATGGTAAATACGATGAATATGGTGAATACGATGAATATGGTGAATATGAAAAATATGGTGAATATGAAAAATATGATGAATATGATCCATAGTCATACCTATGGTAGATGATATAGTGTGTACGATGACTCTGACAGTTGGAGCTAATTTTTACAATTTTTACAAGCGAATAAATACAGCAAACATTTATAAAGTACTCCATTTCAAATATCGGATTCTGTGTTTCTCAAATTTATTAACAATGTATGTGGATTTTATTTTATTTCATTATTAACATCCTGTTTGGTTGAACGAAGATTCATCAACAGTAAATTAAGGAACACTTCGATTCTCCTTTTTCAATTTTATATCCAAAAATTCCCCGCTTAATATACATTTCCTCGGTACCATTGAATTTCTCAACTTCTCAACTTTTCAACTTCTCAACTTCCTAACTTCTTAACTTCCCTATCAAACCCTACGTACTTCTATAGCCAACAGTATATAGACTATGAAATTTGTTGGTTGTTCGTTCCAGATTTTATACACAACGAGAAAACCGTCCTCTCGTGAAGGCATTTTAAAAAAAAAGTCAATTTCGAAGACTCGCTTTGTCGTCGATATTTTGTACTATAAAATTATAAAACAACTGTTTTTCTTTTATACTACAATATGTGTGAAATAAACCCTGTGAAAGTAAATCCTATTCCTTTTGCGATACTCTAGAAATTAATGATCAAAGTTAGACCTTTTTGTCAGCCCTTAGAGCGATGCTACCCCTTAAAATAAAGAATTCGCTAAAATAAAAAAACTTAGTAAAACTTCTTGCAAGAAATTCCACGACGAACGCGAAGCACACGGTGTTACTTACGCGATACAACGTGCTTATTCTTGGCATTCGTTTCGCGACTAAAGTTACCATACGTATCAACGACGTCCTGGCCGTACGACAAAGCTATGAATACTTCAAGGCGGCCGCCACGGAAGACACGACCGACGCGGCAGGTTCGCCGCTGACATCAACAGGAGCGCGATCGATCTGGCAATGTCACGGCGATCGATAGGCCTTGATCTAGAGGCTTATCGAAACGGAACGACTTCATTAATCTTCTTAATGGACAACGTTTCGCGTTTTTTCCAACGGAACGATCCTCGTCCACGAGTCCCTGTACTACTGTTTCGCCGATTGCACGCGAGTCACGTGATCCGGGGAACACATACCCTGATTGGGCGCAGGTTAAAGATGGCCCGGCGGGACTCTTGTAGAATTACTTTTAATTTACCAGAGAAGTGCCAAATATTCAGAGAAGTACTTAAATAAGGTCCTAGTATACATGTTAGATGATTACATTAGTTTACAGTCAAAATGTACATTCGATGCTACAATTTTTTTTCTTTTGTATTTCGGCCTGCTGAACTGGAAAATCGCAATGAAAATTTTTTCTGCGGATAGGTTTCTTTTATATGAATTTTTGAATTTTTTTCGATTTTTTTCTGAGATACTTTCATATTTTAGGCCATATCTCGAGTTACAAACGTCCGATTGGATCGCGCAAAATGCCATATTAAAGGTAATCGAATTTCCAACCATTGCTTCTAACATTGCTTTCCAATCGGTTCAATAGTTCATCCATAGAAAAATTTTTCATTGCGATTTTCGATTTTACCAAGCCAAAATACATAAGACAAAAATTGCGCCTATGAATGTACAATTTTTTTTAATTTTGTAAACCAGATTTTAGGCACTGATCAAGTATTTGAGTAGTTGCAATATACGTGGGAGCGTTGAGTGACATTTGTAGTGATCATATTTGGGCCAAACTTCTTCAAATATTCCTCGAGTTCGAACTTCTTAAGTACATGAATATTTGACTTCTGTATTTACAAAGACATTTGCAAATATTTACTTCTGTATGCACTCGTTTGAAGATGTTTGATAGTGCTTAATTAAACAGATACTCCCTCCACAAGATCAAGTCTTCTTTTCCCAATACCAAAAAGGCGAGAGTTCGCTATCTTTCAATGCGAAGATTCAAGATAAATCTTTGAGATCGTTTGTAGAGTCCTACACCGTACCAGACAGAAGTCTATCGGCAAAGACATGCCCACCATTCTGTTTGAAAATGTTTTCCGCGAAAATTCCACGCCAAGATCGCACCCTTAAGTAATCCGATACCGTCTAAACGCTACATTGAACAACTTTGCGCAACTGCGGCGAGCATTCCATAGTTTCGAAGGAAAGTAGAACGGGAGCGTTAAACTTGAAACCCCTCAGAGTTCAAGTACGCGGCGTTCGACCGTTTATCGCCGGCTAATTTCGTCGCGTAACAACGCTGATCGCCTCAACGAGGTCGGCGTACCCGCGATGCAATATCGCGTTCCCCTTTTATTTCACCGCCTAGGAACTTTTATCGTCGACGGGGTGTCGGACTCTAATTGAATTTCCACGTGCGTTCCACGATCGCCTCCGCCATATTCCCGACGAATTTCCCACGAAACGTACGATTTAATAGTTCGTTACAGGAATTCTTATCGAGTCGCTTGCCTTGCTAATTACTTCCTGCGATTCTCTAGGTATGTAAATTCCCTTAATTCTCGTGCTGGACTCGTGCCCGTGATCCAATCAGACTTGAGAGGAGTCTGAACGTGAGGTAAATTTACTTATACAATTTTTTAAGACGTTTCTTTGTATCATATTTGTATCTAGAGAAGAAAAAAATTTGTATATAAAAAGAAAAAGAAATCTTAAGATTCCATGATCCCAAGGATCCCAAGATCCCAAGGATCCCAAAATTTCAAGAATCTTAAGATTCCATGATCCCAAGGATCCCAAGATTCCAAGGATCCCAAGATTCCAAGAATCCCAGAATTCCAATGATCCCAATATTCCAAGGATCCAAAGATTCCAAAGAACCCAAGATTCCAAGGAACCCAAGATCCCAAGAATCCCAAAGATCCCAAGAATCCCAATATTCCAGGGAACCCAAAATTTCAAGAATTCCAAGATCCCAAGAATTTCGAAATCCCAAGGATCCCAAGGATCCCAAGATCCCAAGATCCCAAGAATCCTACCCCGCACAATCACACAAGTCATACAGTAATCACACAGCACACCAATCCACCTCGTCTACTAACTTTCCTTTTATATATAATTCAAACCGTACTTCTCATTCAAGGAAACGCGAGTTTCTGTATGTTTAATTAAGAACTCCTACTCGTGATCCAGGTAAGGATTTCGATCGTATCTGGCCGCACGGCGTGCATCGCGATGCGGAAACGCAAAGAGAAAATTGTAACGCAATTACACCTGCGTGTATCTGCATATCGTGGTACGTGGCCTTCGAGCGAACTTACCACCCGTTGCTTCGCAATGCCCGCGCGCAATTACGTTCTATTTTCAGTCTAGCGTTTAGCTCGAGCAAAACACGCGCCGCCAAATGCCATTTCGAATTTTCGTTAGACCCCTATCGGTATCTATCGACTAAAATATATTCGACAAATTAATTTATGGAAACACCCATGAATTCTTCGTGAAAAATTGAGACGAAATTGAGGAATGA